CAATCATGCACAAGGCCCAATATTAGCAACTCTTCATAGCCCAAACCCACACAAGACAAGTCGTCTCGTAGGTATAAAGGTGACTTGATGATATAAAATTTTTTACATAGACGATGAATATAGCAAAGTTATAAAATCAAAATTTCTACAAGCTAACTTTGCATATTGTTTGACTTAAAACCGTCATTAAGGCCTTGTTGAAAGAAATTGTAGATAATAAGGGTGATTAGTGATTACTGATTAGTGTAAGTCACTTAATTAGTTCTCATTCTATTGCTTTCTCCACCTTTTGCCTCAAAGAAATGTTGTATTTAATTGTACTCCTAAGCAAATTGGAGAAGAGATTATCAAGCGTCCAATCATCTCTAAGCAACTCACTTTGCTTTTTTATTATAGAAATATAATATTATCGAATAGTGATACACACGATTCTGATCTTTTTTTTTATTGATGTCGGATCATTGTTTTAGTTTTAATTATATATATTTAAATTTGTGTATTGCAAATTTATTTTTTAGAGTAACACTCTTCAATCAATTCATCTGATTAACGGTGAACACAATTTCAATAATCTCATCGCAACTCAAATTAAATAATGTTCATGTGATCATGACTTATGGGTTACATACTCATCCTTAGCAATTATTGCTATGCAATTCAATTAATTATTGCGATGACTTATAACATATTGTCCACCAGTTCATAAATTATAATAATTTACATTTCAATCTATAAGTCAGGCATATTTCTTAATTTGCTTGTTCTTGGGGACTTGTACAGAGCTTATTTAATTTGATTAAGTAAAAAATGTTCTACTACAATTACTAGAGTAATAACTCCAATCATAAGAGGTTTTAAGTTTTTTTATATCTTGTATATGGACGTAAAATTTTTTAATTGATAAACTTGTACTACTATGACACAAATATTTTTTTTTAGTGATAATGAGTTATAAATGTTCAATGAAAATTGTTTTTTCAATAATAAATGAATAAATTATTGAATGCAACTTGCTTGAATAAAGGTATATATATATTTCGTATCTTCTATCTTCTTTTTTTAAATACTCTATATTTTAATCCATGATTTTGGATGTTAAGTCTTCATAATAAAATATCCTAGATGCAATACTGCAGATAAGATAATGATCTTCTATGATTTTATAAAATAATGTATTACCTTGTACTAAAGTTAGGTCAACGTAACTTTATGATTTTTTTCCACTTGCATAATTACTACTAGAAACAAGTATATGCTAATTAGCGGTGAAATCTAGAGAAATAAATTTAAAAAATATTCTATTTTTTAAAATTATTTGTTGTATTTTTCTTTTACATACTTTTTAAGAAAATATTATACATTTATGACATATGACTTCTATTCAAGTGGTAACTTGGGGAAATGGAGATAAAAAGTAACGGAGAGGAGCCTCATTATTTTGTTTAGTATATCAGTATGTTGTTTATTGTGTTTCGATTATCACATTATTTTGTTGTTATTTTTCTTCCTTTGATAGACTTCACATTGTCTCTTTGTTACCTATTATATTTTCTTCACCCTCTTGCTCCTATTTGTACTTGGATTTGCTGTATTTGTGCCAAGGAACTTTCGAAAATTAAACAATCTTTCAATCTCTAAAAGATAATAATAAGATTTGCATACATTTTACCCTTTCAAGATTCCACTCGAAAGATTAATATGTTGTTATTGTTGTAAATCAAAAACATATTTTACTTTTGTTTTCGATGACTTGATGGTAAATATATTTACAAAACCAAGAAGCTTGATTTAGGTGACCTAACTACCTCTTTATTTTTCTTTATTTATTGGATGATATGATAGGTACTTCTTTAAAAGCAAGAACATGCATTGACCTGAAAATTTGATAATACATGTTGGGCAATGATTAATTAGTTAATGGAAATTATTGGATAGAATGTGAATTTTTTAAGTGACAAGTCCTTATTTATCAATGTTCCAAAATTTCCTCTACATGTTGCTACTTAATTATGTATCATAATTCAAAAGGTTTATGACAAATAAGTATCTTTTTTCACAAGCATAAGCCATGAGAATAACGTGCTAATGTGTAGATATTTAACACACAGCACCATGTGAACTGAGGACCCTCGATGCCTCCACCATGAAAACTACTTCATCACTTTTCATTTTTAATGGTTGGTATTTTACGTTTAAGTTCAATTAATTCAAATTCGCGAAGAAAATTACCATTTGAATTAAAGGTTCTTCATTCTCACTGTTCAATAAGAATATTGGAACTGTTATTTTATACTCAGCAATGCACGAAAGATGAGATTTGTTTTCTATTTATTATTAGTATTATTATTATTATTATAATTATTATTATTATTATTATTATTATAATAATAATTATTATTATAATTATTATTATTATAATTATTATCCTTTTCAATATCATGATAGTTTCCATCTATTGAAAAAAAAAGGAATCAGTTTCTTTCTTCACTAAGTCCATGTACTATTGGCATATAATCAAATTAAAGGAAAGTATCAAGATATGAAGGTGACCTCTAATCTTTGTTTCTTTAAAGCTAAAACCTAACAACAAATAATAAAATGGGTAAGTGGCCAACTTTGGCTAGCTAGCGTAGACTTCACTCTTTGAATCCAATAATTAAGTGGCCACCTTCAATATTGGACACGAAGAACATATAAAAAACCTATTTATCCATTAATAAAATGATTCAAAGCGTAAATCACTAACTCCAAAAATTAATTCATTAGGAAAAGTATGAATTAACTCCATATACACACCACACATTTCTTTTTCATTGATTTGATATTAGACTCTTCAACACAATGAAGTTAATTAAATAATAATCACTATTATCGTGAACTTTTATGATTTAGAAGAAAAAACTCTAAGGTGATAACTTGATGTTTCTATTAATAGAAAAAAAAATGACAAAAATCTATCTTAAAATTCTTTCATTATCATTATCCCCTATTAATTTTATAAATTTTTAAAATTTCTTATTTTCACGCATCACATTAATGTATCTCCCTTATCAAATTAATGTATCTCGCATTATGTATAAGATGTATATCAGATTAGTGTATCATGTATAAAATGTAATGTATCTTACTTGACGATTAATGTATCTCGCGTATCAAATTAATATATCAACACTTATATTATTATTTTAGTTTGAAAAATTTCTATAATTATAAACTTATAAGGGATAAATAATAATTTTTTTCTTAAAAGCGTGTCATTTCTGTCCTTTGCCTATTAATAAGTTATAAAATTAATTTTTTTTTAGCATAATATATTATTATTAAGGACAAGTTGGAAAATGATGGGCAGGCTATATTTCTACATTTCAATTACTTTCCTACAAAGTCAGCCGCAAAGGGTTCGTTTCCAGCGACCAGTTGGCACAATTGGCGACTGCCTTTATAAAAAGCAACTTTTTATTTTCTTGATGTTATAGTATTTATATTTTTTTTCGTTTAGAAAAAACCAAATACTTATTGTATAATGCAATTATAATAAATCAATATTAATTTAATGTAAATATAAAATAGGAAGTAAGTATTTAGACACCATTTGACAAAGAGGTTATGAATCGAATACAATAAATTAATTTTTGTAATTTTTAATTTTAAAAAATTTATATCTTATAACTTTTGTAAAAATAATTTCTGTTTTCACGAAAGATATTTGAATAATTGACTTTCTTTCTTTGATTTAAATGGTAATTGATAATAGAGTCTAGTCTATTACTTTTGTATACGCTAACTTGACATTGAAGCATTTGCTAATTGCTATGCAATTAAGGTTATAATCCTAAATTAGCATAAACTTGAATTCAAATTAACTTTGGGAAATTCCATTCATGTAGAAAAGAAAGCAATGTTATGTGTACAAATAGAGAATTGTGGGTGGATTGTGAAGTGTAAATGAACTCCCTAATTAGATCTAATTAAATGGTACACTACAAATTAGGACCTAATTTTCACATGTGGTGCTCCATTATTACTAGTACTAGTCATATTCTTTTCCTTATGTAATGAGGAGCAATATATTGGACATAGATGTCGGTGATCCATCATTCACACGTGCTTCTTTGTCATTAGCTATCTCCTATAATTTATTTAAATAAACAAGGGATGGAAAATTTTATAATAATTATAATTTCATAAATGCACTTTGGTTCCTTTATCACTCTTAATTTTCATGATTACGTTTCTGGAGTTGTTAAATGGGTGAGTTGAATTTTAAATTATCTAAATAAGTTGATTTAAAACTAGGCTAGTTATTGATTCACTATTTGGAATGGAAGCTAATTGAATTTAATTCTTTCTAATATGTACTATAAAAATTGTGATATGATAATTGAACTGTAGAAGGACAAATATGTTCTCAAAGAAGGATGGTAAAAACAAATATATCAAAAAAGTATAATGAAGAATAAATATGACCCTTTTCTAAAAGTATAAAAACAAATATGATTCTTTTCCGTTCTTATAACAAATTTGAATACATGCTAGACTCTTTTTCCTTGTATAATAACTTTATAAAAAAATATCAATTTAATTTTTATAAAAAGAATACTCTTTTAAAAATATTATGATAGATTAATTTGGACCGCATATGATCGATTGAGTAATTTTTGGAACAAAGTTTAATTATTTCTATTTTCATATGCACGTTTTTAGAATAACGTGACTTTTTTTCAATCGGTTCATCTCTCCGAAACAACGCGCATTGCTTCAATGACTATATATACTCGATAAATTCTAAGATATTCCTTACAAATTTTCTTATCTTCTACTCTTCTTCTTTTTAAATTTTTTTTTAAAAAAGTAAATCCCAAGTGAATTATTGTAGTCAAATAAATTTATTTTTTCATCAGAGTTTGTGATACAATTAAACTGGTGGGTAAATTCTTCTATTTTAAAAAGATATATTTTATTATTTTGAGTACATTGAGCGAATAATTTTCTAAAAAGAAAACACTCATTTTTTTTAATCAAAGTCCATTTTGGTTTGGTTACCATTTTATTGTTCTATTGAATTGCATAACAATTTTATCATCATTTCTCTTGTTTGACAGACTAATTTTGAAGGTACCAGTGAGTTTACAACAACCAAAAAAAAAATGTTAGTGGAGGAATCAATATACAATAATTGAATAAAAAATGTACTTAATTAGGTAAAATATTAGATTCTTTTAACTAAAAAAAATACGGTACTAGAATCTCAACTTTTTTCCCCCTATAATATATGGAAAAATATTGAAAGAACAGCTGGCAATGTACTATACTACAGCCGGCAATTTTTAATTTGACAGCAATAGATGACGTGGATTCCCTAAAACCCCAATCAATCATTGAGCTTTCTCTTTTTGGCTCAAACCCTACCTCCTGCCTAGGGCGGACCTAGAGATTGTCGAGGGTTCATTCAAAAAAAAATTATGCTATATATTTAAAATATTTTAAAAAGTTTTTATGTTTATAGATTAGTTTTCGACTTCCTAAACGTAAGATTAAAAATTGGTTGAAAGGCTCAGCACTTACATCAGGGTTTAAGTACAAATTTTTTAAGATATTTATTTATTTTTTCGAAATGAAAATTCTGGCCCCGCCTTTGAACTCCCGCCTTGTCACTACTTCTATATATGCTTCAAAATCTCTCTCAAAAGCCTCAAAAACAAACTTTTTTTGTGTGGAGCACACAAATTAAATAAAACTATCATTTTTGTCTCTATCTATCTCGTTTGATATCAATCTATGTATTAAATTCATTGATAAACTCTGTTTTTCTTGTTTCTATTGAGATTTGAGATAGAGGAAGTGTTGAAATTTTCGTAATTTTTTTCTTTATGGATACGTATATTGTTCATGAGGTAAAAAGCGAGTGGGAGAAGGATTCGTTATAAGTTGAGTAAACATCAAATCTGATAAGAAGAAGAAAAAGCAATAATTATAATTTTTGCGAACTTCGCTGCATAAATTTACATCTTCATTTCCGTATTTGCTTGGTAAGTGTATTGATTTTGGATGTTAGGTTAATTATGAACTGTTTTGAGTTCGGATTTTGTATGTTTATGTTGAATTAATTTTTTGATTTCACGTTGAAATTCGTTTTCAGATTGACGAATAACGATGTCGATAATCAGTGAAACAGTTATGATGAAAGCGGCAGAAGCACAAACAGTTAAAGCAAAACTTACAGCGCCGATGGAGGTTGATTTCGCCAAATGCGAGTGCTGCGGATTGACGGAGGAATGTACTCTGTCGTATATAGAAACAATCCGGCAGCGGTACCAAGGGAATTGGATTTGTGGATTGTGTGCGGAGGCTATCAAGGACGAGGTGATTCGATGTGAGAGGTTGATTACTGCGGAAGAGGCATTGAATCGTCATCTCAATTTCTGTAAGAACTTCAGTTCGTCTCGTCCGCCATTGAATCCGACTGTTCATTTAATCGATGCGATGAGGCAGATTTTGAGGCGGAGTTTTGAATCTCCGAAATTGATTCGGTCGATGTCTAGTAGTCCGGTGGAGAGTAGCGGAGAGATGAAGCACACGGTGATTGTTCGATCGGAAAGTTGTATTCCTGCAATTTCTCTAGTGGATTCGAGTTCGTTTCATGCTATGGGATTCGATGGAAGTTGTGAATGAAACAGAACAGAGCAAATTGGGAGTTTTTGTTTTATGGAATGGAATAGTACTTGCTCTAAAAGGATTTAAACTGTTGGTCATGCTTTTTCAATGGTTATATTTACTACTTTTTCCAACAGGTTTTTGCAGTTTTGATTAGTTTTCCTTATGTATCATGTAAATATTTATTTATGCGAAACCATCTTTTAGCTAAGCTATAATCTTGAAATTTGGGTGGTTCTAATGTATAAACGAGTTGTGCCGATGCAACAATGAAGAGGCGTGACTCGTGAGAGATCGACATGACAAAACGTTCTTGATAAGACCTTGATAGAAAGGTTTGAAGGTCGAGGATTATGATAAATTGTTAAGCAGGTAGGCCCATGTTGTAACACCTTTTTGTAGGAGAGACGGAGCTTGTCCTCTCTTCTTCTTTTCTCTTTATTAATGTTTAGTACTTGCATAGTATCTTGTAGTTCGTGTTCTATTGTTAGCTATTGCTTTGGGTTAAGATTTACATATAGTTTGTTCTCTCCTAACACGAGATATATTGTTGTAAAAATCTTGGTTCTATTACAACATGTTTGTGCTGTTCCTACTAGTTTGGTTTTCATTGGACCAAACTTCAATTGTAATTCAACCAACTCAATCATGTCTCAAAGAGTAGTTATCAATTCTTCGAAATCACTTGAATTAGTACTTCACATTAGCTCAATCTCATCGTATTGTTGCTTGGTAAGAATGACCATGATCGATGAGCTCCTGATCGAAAAGCACAAATATTCCCTCAAAATCATACAAATCAGTTATAGAAATCTGAATTCTTTCTCCCCTCAAAACTGTTCTCTGCATTTGTTATTATTACAATAACATTATATAGTTGAGTCCTGTTAGTTGCCCTGCATTTTGAGTTCGTTGAAAGTTCTGTAAATTGAATGTGGGCGGCACTGCCTCATTAAAGATGTTTAAACTTATATTGATGACATCTTAAGCCACTAGGCTATAACAACCTATTATGTCAAGAGTGTTCAAAATATATAATTGAATAACTTCATTTACCATTTTACTTATATATGCAATTTTTTTTCAAACGATCGGTGTCCAATTAAATACCTGGAGTACATTTACCTACGTCACTGCTAGGATGACAATGGGGCAGGGTAGAAGTGGTTTCTAAAGATTATTTATATTTAAACTTAATTTTTTTAACTTTTTAGAATATTATTCAGGAAAATCCTATTATTCATTAAGAGAATTTCTTTAAAGTTACTCAAATATATAAGATAGTAAATGAAAATAATTCATTAAAAACTATTTATCTTTTCTTACATGCCTTTCAATTGACGTTTAAAAAAAATTAAGTTATTATCTATTAAATTAATTTAAATTAAATCCAAAAAGAAATTTTATTTTTAGTGTCAAATTTAATTAAGAAAAGACAAATAATTAAAAATATATGCGGGGTGGATTCATAAGGGTGGATTTAGACAAGACAGAGTGAGATAGGTTAAAATTTTTGCAGGTTAAAGCTCAATTCGACCAGTCTCATTGCCATCTCTAGAAAGATGTAACTCATCGAAATCACTTGAATTAGTTGAAAATTTTCTATTCAAAGTGGATATGTCCAGTTGAAAATTTGTGTATATGAGAACGTATTGTATATAGCTCAATCAATTTCAACATATATACATACATACACAATTTAAAAAACACCATTCTTATGAATATTTATTGTCAAAATCTTTTGAGAAAATTGAATAAACTATTTATTCCATCCATATTTTTTATCATCAACCCCTAATAGACTCCACTTGCAGTCAAGGGGGTTGAGTAACTGCCCCACCTAGGGGTACTAATTAGATGGGTCCGAATAAATTTGGACGGATTAAAATGGATTAAGACTTAATCCACTCAAATTCGTTGGATTGAAAGGGATTAGGTAATGGATCAAAATTCTATCCGTTCAATTTTTACTATGTTTTAATAGCTTTATTTGTCATTTTATAAGTTTTTACTAACTATAAAATTTATATTTTTTAATTATAACTATACTATAAATAAAATTAAAAATAAGTAATTCTTTATGACAGTATTTCTCAAAAATCAATTTGGTTGCATATTAATTCAATTTTTAATGAGTTAAAATGGATTGAGTTGAGATGAATTAAGCTAACAAATGAGTGAGTCTTTAACCAACCCAAAACTAAATGAGTTGGATTGGATTGAGCGAATTAAATTTGATTTTGCCGCTTCTAACCGCGTATCCACCTATCTGTCATTCCTATGTGTAAGATTATTTATCCTTGTTTTTACGATAGTACCCCCATTACACAAAAAAAAATTATGAATTACATAAGATTTTTTTGGAAATTAAAATTGAAATTTGCGGAAGAATTATTTTTCTACAAATTTTCATATTAATATTAAAAAAATTTATATAATTCACAATTTTCTTACGGCGGACCCTAATTATCATTCCTTTTAGTTATTGCAAAAGAAAAGCATGAACGAAATGGTGGTTGGGATAAAGTTTTAATAACTGTAAATTTTTTAACATCTAAGTTTGAAATACGAATATTTATCACGTGAATGTAAATGAATGGGTAGGTGAAATCAAATATGCGACTTTGCATGTGGATGAAATTAGGAATATATTCATTATAAATTTCCAACACCATAAAATGACAAACATTATGGTGTTAATTGGAAAGTTACTAGTTTGTCTTAATAAAACTTACGAAATGGAATAATAATTTTACGGCATAATACATATATTAGATTTTAAATTTGAGTTTAAATTTTGATTTTGATCTCAAATTTTTATAGTAGGTACTTAAACTATCCTATCTTTCAATAAATAAACACGCGATTTTTGGAGCCAAAGTGCGTGAAATGCAAACGCTTCCACGTGTATTTGTGAGTCAATCAGTGGCTGTCAACTAACTAAACATTTTACATGTCTTTTTTTTCTAAAAAAAAATAATCTTACATGTCATTTCAAACCAAAAAAAAAATTAATTTTAATTAATATAAAAGAAATTCATTAAAGCTAGAATTGTCATTTCAGCATTTTTTTACTTTTGTGGGCCTCGAAAATTATCCCTCACTCGCGCAGAATGCGTGCATTTCACACATTTTGTCAGGTAGGAATCGCGTGTTTATTTATTGAAAGACGGGATAGTTAAAGTGCCTATTTGTGTACTATGAAATTTTGAGATGAAAGTTAAAATTTGAAGCCAAATTTAGGGTCCAATATATGTATTATGCCTAATTTTACCATTTCATCTTTTAAATATAATAAATATAGTATTTTAAAAAATATAATAAAAATAAAAGTATGAATTCATTGAGTTTATAAAGTAAAGTTTTATTAGACATCTCACAATAGTATAATGGATAAAAATTAATGAACGGAGGAAATAATGATTCTATTAAAGTGTCCCTTCAAAGACATCTGAAAAAAATAAAACTATGAAACTACGAAGAAGATTACACTATGAAGACAAAAAAAAATAGAGAAGATATTTTAATTTTCACTAAGACACATTTACAACATTAAATTCGAATTTAAAATTTATGAATCATTTAGTCATTTTCTGGTTATCACACTCAACAATCAACACTATACATCGGTGCATGGACAAAGTCATGGATTGCGTGTATTATTTGTAAATAGAGAAGCTTCTTGCAACAAACAAATGAGTTGTAGATAAAAGAGATATATATATTTTTTAAACATAATTTAAACGATATAATTTGAATTTTAAGCGGCCAATAGAAATTTATTATTTTTTATATATATTTAAATATTTTGATTATTAATTTTGTGATTTATTGTAAATCTTTTATTTTATATAGTTCTAACCTTAAAAGATTGTGAGTGCATTCAATATAAAGAAAAATCAATTTGGAACATTTATTTTTATTGGGGAGTTCATTTTGTTTCATTTATTTTATTACTTTTAAAAATCCCCATAATTTCTTATTTTATTAGTGTATTTGAGTTGCATATTAATGTATCTCTAGTTAGTATTTAATGTATTTGAGCTAGTTTTTAATGTATTTGAGCTACATATTAATGTATTTGAGTCAGTATTTAATGTATTTGAACTACATATTATGTATCTGAACTAGTTGTTAATGTATATGAACTATACAGTAATGTATTCGAACTTTAATTATTGTATCCGACTTTTTAAATTTGTAAGAAACCAATATAATTAGAAACTTATTAGGGACATATTGTAATTTCATATTAAAACTATGAGATTTATATGGTTTACACTTGAAAAAATATCTTTCAAAGAAATTTTCAATGAAAGAATATACTTCAAAAATATAAAAGGTTTAACTTTGGCCAAAATACATACACATATTCCTAAACTTGTTGGATTTTTCTCCTCAGATGCTTCAATTATGCTATTTTCCTGTTGAATCATTGAACCACTCATAATGTGTTACTTTGAAACACCGCTGGGTGATATGGAACCAGATTTTGTGAGGGGTATTGATAGAGGATACATGTGTTGTTCCAGAACTTATTAATCCAACTAAAAATAAAAATGTTTGAGAATGATTGTGTTTTACTTTGAGGCAACTTGAACACATTAGAAAACAAATGAGACTAGCACACATTTTGTCTTATTTTCTTCATCAAAATCATTACAATACGAACACAATTGAAGACATTTTCAATACAATAGCCGATCAAATTAGTCAACAGTATTTAAAAAAAACAAATTAGTGGTGGTTTAATGATTCAATAGAAAAATAACGTAGTTAAGATACCCAAAACTTTATTTATGAGTTCTACCTTTAACTTTTTAAATTCGAACTATGTCATATAAATTAGCTATCGAGAAATTATGAATAAGCACCTAGCCCATATTTTGTTCTTAGGGGCATTTGTTAATCCATTATAAAAATATCTAGGTGGGTATGCTAAATTAATGGAAAGTAAATCAATCAGCACCTTCAACGTGGCCCAATAAGGCCCAACCAATTGGCTACTTCCGCTTCTCTTTATATCTCATATACCGGCGGCATTTCGCCGATAACTTTTTTCCTCCGGTAAACGGTCAACGATGGCGGAAATCTCCGTTCTTTCTATTTTATTCATCCTCTCTTTCTGCCTTGCTCCGGTGACCATTTCCGTCCAATCGGATGACCATGAAACTTTCATCATTCACGTAGCCAAATCCCACAAGCCTCATGTTTTTTCCACCCATCACCATTGGTATTCCTCCATCGTCCGATCTGTTTCTCCGTCCTCTCACCACCCTTCTAAAATCCTCTATACCTATGAACGAGCCGCCGTGGGTTTCTCCGCCCGTCTGACCGCTGGGCAGGCTGATCAGCTCCGCCGTGTTCCTGGGGTAATCTCTGTCATTCCTGACCAAGTACGGTATCCCCACACCACCCATACACCTACCTTCTTAAAACTTGCCGACTCATTCGGCCTCTGGCCTGACTCTGACTACGCCGATGATGTTATTGTTGGTGTTCTGGATACGGGTATTTGGCCGGAAAGACCGAGTTTTTCCGATGAGGGATTATCTCCTGTTCCTGCAGGTTGG